CGCCCACCCAGCACGCACCCACGGACCCGCTCTGCTCGGCTCCTACTAAGTGTAGCATAATTCTATCGCCTAGCCTTCATCGATAAACGCACTATCCAACACAAAAATAATTATTCAAATCATAGACATAATATTCATCATCATAACATTCATCGTTCCAAGATTAGCGCATTGAAAGTTTGAAACACAAATAAACTCATCAGCTTTATACATAGTAATAGTATAAGGCATAAGATTGATAGGTATTGTAGTTGTAGCTATAGAGGCTTATTGTAATTATGGAAAAAAGTAAGTAGTACAAATATTTTATCACAATACTGCGCATACCAGGATATCAAATCAATAACAAAATAACTCATAGGTATCAAGAGTTAAAATTGCAAGTCATACCTACCTACCCACCTGAATAGTGGCACGTCATCGTAAAACAGATACTTGGATTGATAATCTGTCTAATGATGATCTATTTTACTTTATCATTGTTTGATGACATCACGCATCATTCAATTTTCATAAACGTATCATCATTATGACTATGACGTAGTTGGTATTGCACAATATTTACAGTGTTGGCGTGTTGGTACTTAATTTTGTGACGGATCAACTAAAACAACAATTCCAATTCGCGATTGAACAGATCAGCAAGACTAGGTATTCTATAACTGTTACTGTCAATTAAAACTTTCAAAGTGAACTCAATCTCGCATTCTCGCTCGTTATTGGTCGAGATTCTTCATGACCAATGGCATGACGGATCGCGATCGAGTTCACTTCGATCTTACGAAATAATTATTGTTACTAAACTTGGCATGGCATAGCATTGGTTGGCAGAGAGAGCCAAAATTATTTTATGGGTATGGACGATTTTTTTTTTTTTTTTAAGGGGGAAAATCATCGAAAGACTGCTCCCGCCTGGGTGAGGCGGAAGGGAGTGTCAGACTCTTACTGACTAAAAACCACCCCGTTCCTTCTCCTGCACGTCGAGCCGGAGCCCCGGTTACCCGTTAGGTTCTCCGCGACTCCGAATCGGCATCGGCCCTATTGGGCCCCATCTGTGGTGGTCTGATGGCTCTTTGAGGCGCGCGCGGAACGCGACGCGCCGTACGCTCGGGTCTGTTTCTGGTCGGTGGGTATGGACGATGCACCTTGAAAATGAGACGACTTAAACACTTGTTTTTTTTTAATTTGTACAATGCACATTATAGGTGTGTAGGTACCTGCGTAGTTCTACTCAATAACTAATTTAATTATTGTTTCTTCGGACATTGCACCTTAGTCTGTCTGCAATCGATACTAATCAATTAAAATTCGAACGATAAGGTGAAGTTAATGAATGACATAATAGATTTAATCCAATAACTCTTTGTTGTCCTAAAAAGTCCATTGCTCCCATCTTATTCCACCACAATGCGTCAAAACAAACCACGCAATCCATGATTTCCGCAGTAGCTGGACTGACTGCTACACAACGGCTTCGAATTCTAAACAATTCCTTGTGTGATCTACAAATTGTTGTTTTGTGTCTGAGTGTAATATGTTTGTGAATAATAATATACGTTAGTAAACGCACCCACGGACCACAATGCACATAAAAAGAACTTATTTTCTACAAAAGAAAATTTTAATGTTTTTAATTCATTTATTTTTAATGTATGCGACACAATTTATTACGAAAGTCAAACGTTGACCAATTCAGCTTCATCAGGCGGTGCGAAGAGTCCATCCTTGATCATTTGGCGCCACTCACTGCCATTTGGATACGCGAACTTGTCCAATATACCTGGTAAGAATTCCGTGCTGTAACCCGGTAGCTGAAAAAAAAAACTGAATTAATAGTCATCATCGTTGATATGGACTGGTCTCAAATGTGACTACGACTGTGACGTGGAAAGTTATGAATATTAATATTTTGTAATTTTGCTAATTTTCACAAAATCTAGGCCAGTGTAATAGGCGTGTTAAGTAGGTAAATGGGATCGAACTGTTGAAGCTAGAATTTTAACTTCCGTAGAAGGTTACTGTACGATTTTGGATTTGTAGACGAACGTCTCAAAAAGCATGATTTCACAAATATAAAAAAATAATCAGTAGGCGTAGACTATTTAAATTTAAAGACATTCTGTGATAGTATACCTTAGGTGCGAGGTACTTAGCGTTCTCCACGATGCATGGATCTACAAAATGTTCGTGTTGCTGGTCGACGTACTCGATGAGTCGGTCCTGCATGGTGGCGGAGACGCTGGCGAAGTCCCAGTACTGCAGGTGTTGCACCATCTCACATAAACCAACTCCGCCCGCGTGAGGACACACCTTCACTGAAAATGAAGATACAAATATTTAGTTTTCAAATAAGTTTTGAAAACAATATGTAGGTTATCGCCATAATTATTGAACGTTTCCAAGACGCAGGTAGCTGTAACTCTCCGCATATCGAAATGTATTACGAATCTTAAAAATTGCATTTACTCACATTCCCAACTCACTTTCTTTACTTATGAATTAGCTATGTATGTACTACTTTTTAGAAATCTAGAATTTATCCTTGTTTAAACGTAAGTTCTAAGAAACCTACATTCTAAGTATTTTCATCTCAATTATTATAAATATAAACTTTTATATGTACCTTTAAGTTTTTCAGCCATGAGATAGACGGAGAGTATCTCATTAACTCCGCCGATACGCGCCGAGTCTATCTGACAGTACTGCATGCCCCCGCTCTGGAGGAACTGCTTGAACATGACGCGGTTGGCACACATTTCGCCCGTCGCCACGCCGATGTTATACGGCCTGTAAAGTGTAACATAAATATAATACTTTATATTTGTTTACGCTGTCTAAGCTGCGAAATTTCCATATTACTGAGAAGTTCTTGTCCTTCTTATCGGAACACCCCGGTAGCATTTTGCCGACCCGGGATCGAACTCTAGACCAGAGCAACCGTAAATGAGGTCTTACGAGGGTCAGCAGGGCACTTGAATTGAATCTAAACTACTCACACCAATGCTTTAGAAATAGCAGCGTGTCCCAGTACATCGTCGGGTGAGGTAGGCTCTTCAATCCACATCGGTTTGAGAGGAGCCAGCTTCTTCATCCACTCTATAGCTTCGTTCACACTCCAAGCTTGATTGGCGTCTACCATCTGAAAAGAAATATGAACATTATAAGATGTAGATTTACTGATATGATACCTACATATGTACATACATAAATATTACTATGCCAGGTATGTATTAAAATATTCTGGTTAATGTTTTTTTTATGGCATAAGCCGGTAAACGAGCAGACGAATGACCTGATGGTAAGCAATCGGCGTTGCCCATGGACACCTGGAACACCAGAGGCGTTACAAGTGGGTTACCGGCCTTTTGGGGATTAGGAGTTTGAGGATCGTTGGGGATTCAGGAATTGGGGAGATTGAGGAAGGGGAGGGTAACTGGGCCTCCGGTAATCGCACTCGCAAGCGTTGCTTCACGTCGGTTTTCTGTGAGACTGTGGTATCACTCCGGTCGAGCCGGCCCATTCGTATCGAAGTATGGCTCTCCCGCACTTAAATAATGTATGTACCTACATTGTTATGCGTTTGATTCCAGTACGTCACAGGATCACTATTTTTATACAAATCAGAGGTTGTAAACATTCCCTCTATTATCTGTCTACCATGCGAATTGTAGAAATTCGTAAAAAAATTACGCAGTACCTATTGGCAATCAAGCAAACTTTCTTAGATTTAAGATAACTAATGTGATTGATTCGTACTCACCAAAACATTATCAGGACCGATGCACTTGCGCACAGCGCTACATCTTCTGTAGTCGTCATCGAAGTTGACTCCAACTTTGACCTTGAAGTATTTAAAACCAAGCTTCAGATACTTCTCGCACAGAGACTGGACGAGCTCGTCGCTGTAGCCTAACCAACCTGTAATTAACAATCGAAAAATTAGTTTCACTTAAAGCAATGTGTTGATATTGTGCTAATATACTCGTAGGTACCTAAAATCACATCGTTTCTATAATTATGTATGAGGTAGGAAAAGACGCAGATATGAAATGTTACATCAATAACATCCACTTTTCAACTAATTATGTTACGAGTCTTTAGCAACAGGGGGTGAACCTATTTTCACACACTGGGTATAAATCGTATTATAGACCACAGCTTAGCCATTAGGTACTAAGAAACTTTTGAAAACTGAAAAAAGGCTATCACCTATGTTAAATTACGAAAGTAACTAGGTAGGTACGCATTTGTATCTTAAATAGTTTAACTAATAATGACTATTAGGCTACCTACTACTTGTCATTATGTTTAAAAAAATATAATGTACGTACTACGGGGATGTTGTGCCATAGTACCTACAACATCCTATACATTGTATTTTTACTTACAAAAACTGCAAGTTGTATTGTACGACAAAACTTAGTACCTACAGGTACGTATCAATTCGTAACATCGAAAGCTTCATGGTTACACATATTTCTAAAAACGTTAACATCCTCTAGAATCGACCCCGAGATACCTTGTTGCGCTTGCGACCATATATGGGTGTACTCTGTTTGCACCTACCCTATCCCATTGGTAATAACAAAACGTACTTACCGACTTGTGTAGTATACGCGGGGTATCCATGCTCCATAAGATACTTGACCCTCTCCTGTTTGCCAGCCTGCTTGTCCTTCAACATTTTGATTGCTTCTTCCTTCGTTATCACGTCCGTAATGTAACGAAAGTCTATCGTCGATACCAATTCCTGTAATGTATCATCATGTTAGTCACACGACGTCCAGGTCCACTGCTCAACATAAGCTTGGATAAAAAAGTCCGAGGTAAGGCCTACTGTTCACGTTACGAATGCATATTCGTTAAAAACTACAGGCGCATTTAACTTTGCCGCTTCGTGGACAGTTTTCTTTGGGGTCGATTTCAAACAGAGCTAAAAATGTTGTCATCTCCAATAACTTTACTTTTTTTTGCGATTACTTTTGATTTTTTTTTAATATTATAGTCTTCATTCACTTTTTTAGGTTCCAAAACAAAACAAGGCCTAAAAGTGTGAAAATGGCAAGAAAACTAAAACTATAACATTTAGTCCTTAAAGAAGATAATATTCATTTTCCGATAACGTTGAAATAAAGTCGTTTAGTAACGAAGTTCCTCGTAGAAATTTTATGTATTTATTATTGTATATCATGATGATGTGCGAGCATTTAAAAATAGTATATATTTTTTATTTAAGAATTATAGAATATACATATCTTAGTATTTTAAACATTGATTATGGTTTAACTGTCATTAGTGTAGCGTAAGTTAATATCGTCATAATATTAAATCCACGGAGCTCCCGGGCCCCCGCCTCACCTCATCTGCCGTCACATCGTCAGTGGCCTTGCAGTGTTTATTCAGAGTGGTAGTGCGTTTCGTATTTTTTGCAAGATATTCATATTTCTAGCGATTTCAGTGCTGTGGACCAAACTCGACTCATTCATCTCTTAACCAAAATTACAAAAGGTATTGTAATTGAGTTTTTATAATACAGTGTTTCTTATAGCTAACAAGAACATGGATATTTTAAATGTATTTGATTGCTGTCTAGAAAGTTCCACAAGCTTAAAAATCTTTTGTTTGTTTGAAATATCATTAGTGTTACTATCATTTGTGTCAATTTTTCAAGTAACACTAATGAAATTGAAAGTAACACTAATGAAATATTATAATAATGGATTATTAACAAAAAAATTGTGCTTTTCGCCTGATTACGTCAAACACAGTTTGTTTTTTTTATATTATTTTTTTTTTGTGTGATGTGAGGAAAATCAATGGTTATATTTACATGATTATTTACGAAATTTGCTACAAATTATTATCGGTGTTTATATTTTGAGTTTCTGTGTTGCTTAGTGTAAATAAGCTAGGGCTTATTTAAAAAAAATGGCTTAATTTTAGGAAAAATAATAATTTTGTTTTAGGACATTATGCCGAATAAGAAAACGATGAGTGAAAATGAGTTAGAAAGAAGAAGAATAGCAAGGAGAGAAAAATATAAACAAATTAAAAACGACCCAGAAAAATACATCGCCGAAAGAGCTAAAAAAAGAGAAGCTTATCTAAAGCGAAAAGAGAGTAAGAAGGTGAAAAGCATTAACGAAATGTCTCCAAGAGAGCAAAGGGTACAACGGAGAAAATGGAGGGAAAATTCCAAGCGCTATTATGAAAAGATATTAAAAGAGAAAAAGATACAAGAGGTGATTGTCCCAAGAACTGAAATAGACTCTACAGCCGAAGATAAAACTATCGACCCGTTGAAAAGACACGATGCAGAACGACAATATAAGTCACAAAACAAAATCTTGTTGAATAAAATTAAGGTTTTAAAACGAAAACACCTCATGGAAAAAAAAGAAATGTCTTGTCTAATAAAAAAATACCAATACAGGTGCAGAGTTCTATTGCGAAAAATTAATATTATGAAAAATAATCACGAAAAAGAAAATGTAGATAGTGAAAAAACTGGTAAGATATATGCAGTCACAGAAGATAACACCAAGTCGAATACTGTTTGTCGAAAACGAAATTATGACCTCTACAGAAAGTGCCTACGCAGCCGTTTACAAAAGAAGATTTTAGGAGGCAAAAGTATCCAAGAGTTAGTGGAACGATTTTATGAAGATGATATCAATAGCCGCAATACTGCTGGTAAAAAACAATGTGTTAAAAAGTTCGGAGTTACTAAACAAAAGCGGTATTTACTGGACTCTGTAAAAAAATTGCACAAAAAGTTTATGGAAGAAAATCCAAACGTTAAAATAAGTTACGTAACATTCGCACGACTTCGTCCGTTTTGGGTTTACCTACCTAGAGATGACAGAGATACTTGTGGTTGTACAGTTCACACAAATATGGATATTATAATCTCGAGTTTGAAAAAAAAAGGAATAGTTGATATAATTAACTTTCAAAAAATGTTGGATATCTTGTGCTGTGACAAATATAATCTTAAATGTGTTTCTCGTACATGTCAAATTTGTAAAAATAAAGTCATACCATACAACGAGTTCAGTAATCATCAAGAAATAGAATACTATGAGTGGGATAGGGATAAGAAAAAAGTGGGTCAAAAAGAAATTACCATCACTAAGAAATTTAAACGAACAACTCAAATAAGAAATCTGATATTAAAACTAGAGGATTCTCTTCCTAAATTCTTCTCACATACTGCGAATATTATAAACCAATACCAAATTATAACAGAGCTGAAAAAATCCCTGAATGATTACGAAGTTTTAATCCACATGGACTTTTCCGAAAATTATAGCTATAAATTCGCTGAAGAAGTACAAAGCTTGCACTTTGGAGGTAGCCGTGGCCAGATTTCTTTGCACACAGTAGTAATTTATATTAAAAAGGGAAGGGAAACCATTAACTATTCTTTATGCACAGTTAGTGAATGCCCTAGACACGATTCACCAGCAGTGTGGGCTCATTTAGAGAAAGCACTAGAGTTTGTATTTGAAAAATCTCCTAATATAACTACTGTGCATATACTAACAGATAGCCCTTCGAGTCAATATCGCAACAAGTATATATTTTACATCATGACACAGCTGCGAAATGTCTTCTCATCATTAAAATCTGTAACTTGGAACTATCAGGAAGCCGGCCACGGTAAAGGTGCTCCAGATGGTGTTGGCGCCGTAGTTAAAAGGACGGCCGACTACCAAGTAAAATGCGGGCGTGATGTGGGGGACTTCTCAACATTTGTTGGTATTGTGCGAGAAAACGTAAAAAATGTCGAGATAAGGGTTGTAGAAGAACATGAGATTAGAGAAAAAGAAATTCATCTCCCTAAAAACATAGCTCCCTTTAAAGGAACTATGTTAGTACACCAGGTGCTTTGGAACTCCGATTCGGAATTCCTTGAGTTTAGAAAATTGAGTTGTTACGAGTGTGTTGTCACTATTTGTAAGCACGACAAGCACATGCAACTGCATAAAATTTATAAAAGTCCAATAGATTCAGAAGTCGGTAATGTTAAAATCATACCTCCTAATAAGAAGATTAAAATATTGAGCGATATCACCATTAAACACTCCAATAAGCCCTGTAATACTCCAACTTCTCGAATTCACAATGAACAAAACGTTACACCACTTGCTAAAGTTAAAGGTACCTGGGAAAATCAGTCATTCATGATAAATCAGACAGGAGCAATGGCGTCTGGATTTGGGCATCAACAAGAATTTCTTACGTTTTTGAATCAACAACAGGTATCCAAAGATTTATTGAACGATTAAGAAAGAATCTTTGTGATGAAGGTATTATTAATGAGAATAGAAGCAGAAATCAAGATTATTTTTATACAATCAATGATTAAAACCAAAGAATAACAAGACAAAAATCAGCAAAATTATGGATAGAATAATATTGAATATAACATAGAAGACTTAGAAAATGAATCAATACTTCAGTATTTTTTAGTTTAAAGAAAACTACTGTTTTTAATTATACGGATAATTTTAGTTTGTGTTTAGACTGCGATTAGTTGTTATATATTTCTTTGAAGATCGTGATTATTTCATATATATTAAATTTTAATCCAAAAGTTCCTCTAAGAAGACTGAAAAATTATATATGCACCCAAATAATACTTTTACGATTGTTAAGGTTATATGATTGTTACATTAAACTGATTTAATCCATTTGGGATAGTTTTATTTTAATTTTCTCATAAATATACATCGCAAAATTATTAAAATAAGTGGTTACAGTTGTTTTTTTTTTATTATCATTAGTGGAAATCTAATCTCATTAGTGTTTTAGATAATTTCATTAGTGTAACAACATCACTCATTCATGTCACTCAAATTTCAATTTTTTTATAGTTTTTATTGAAAAATCATTGTTATTTTATTTAATTTATGTTAATATAACCTCAAAAAGTGAGGTTACACCACTAGTAACCCAAGAAACGGGTATTTAAGAAATCAAACAAAAAAGTGTCATTTTAATTCGAAATATGAAATCGACCCTTTGTTTCCAAGTAAGATGAAAGCATTTGTAACCCGTCTATTGTTTTTGTCTGATGACACAACTTGGACAGTTACCCTTAGTCATAGTTAACATAAAAATGAGAGATTTTTTTTATGTTACTAAATTAATGATCTGTTGGCTATATTAGATATAGGTACCATCTCACAAGATTGTCCTACCTTCCTTGTCGTAATGTCGAGTACCTACTTTGGTGGATAATTGTCTACCAAACCAAGATTATCTACGCTTCGAAAAAATAAATCACAATCTGTACTTTGTATTAACCTTAATCAGTTAATCTTTTTTTAATTAACACGTTAAACGCCATGGCAGTCACTGGTGACCGACGTTAGCGGAGGATTTGCCTTCAATAGTTTTTTATTGGCAGCCAATGCCTTAATTACATTGTTACATCGATCAATGCCTTCGGTACAATTGCACACAGATAATTATTTAAAATACTAAACTTAAAATTGAAATACCTAGCACCTAATAAGTACCAAAATAAAAATATTACCTATCGTCTTAATAAAACATACCTCTGGTTCCATGTCGACTAGAAGCCTCCATAGCGGTTTCTTTTCCAGGCGAGCCCACAGATCCCACAAGGAGTTCAGAATAGCTGCCGCAGCCAAGTGAGCCACGCCCTTCTCAGGTCCAATCTAGAAGTTACGGTAAAACTAGATGAAAATCATTTAATAAATAAAAAATTAAAACAACTGATATAGTTAGGTAGGTAAATACCCAATTGTGCATGAACCATAACTGCATTTGAAATTCCCAGAATGATAATTGTTAATGATAACGACAGAAATCAGTCTGCAAGTAGTGATAGATTTTTAATATATATAACATCAAACCCCCAATTTTATCCCCGAAGGAGTAGGCAGAGATGCACATTATGCCACTGTACAATGTAACACCCACTTTCCACTATTTATGTGATGATTCCCATGTAATAGGGGGTGAGCATATTGCCATATACCGGGCACAATTCCAGGCTCCGTGCTACTACTGAAAAACCTAGTAATATTTTGCGCGACCCGGGAATCGAACCCGAGACCCCTGAAGAAGAAGAGAATCGGCAAGGCCGAGTCTAACGAGGTAGTCAGAGATTTTTAAGTTTATTACAAACAAAAACGATAAGGTTGAAAATCTAGGGCCCAGGCGCACTCGTAAAGTATACCTACCACATTAACAAGATTAAAATATCCAGGTATTGTTACTTTTGCCTTGAACCCAGATTCATAGTAAAAGTTAAAATAATGAACACTAAACCAATATAGTTATTTAAAAAGCATAGTCTACATACGTTAACTCAATAGGTAGGTACATTTCTTTGTGGTAACTACTTACCCATCGCATTTGCGAGTCATTGGTAATAGTTCGCCAGAAGCCCGCGAAGTCAGCGAAGATATCAGCAGCATTCTTACCAATGATAAACTTCTTCATAGACCTGATGCAGAGCACTATGATCTCGGTGCCCCGCCCACAAGTGAACGTCAACCCAAACCCTTGCTTGCCATTCGCTGTGCTAGTCGTAACGTAGGCACACGAGTAGTTTGGGTCAGTATGCTGGAAAAAAGAAACTTGAATAGTTTTTTTTTATAATACCAATTTAGCGGAAGTTGCTTTAGGTAGGTTTTTTTATTTATCATATTTACAACAAGTACAGGATTATCCATTTAAAATAGCAACCAAAATCCACTAAGATTTAAACTTCTAAATCGATTTTTTATAAAATGATGTTTTACAAATATATAGTACGTTAATGACGCTAACAACCTAGGATAAACAAACACATTCCTAAATAATACTTATGTAATATTGCTTTAGTTTACATTTTACGTTCTTTTGCGTAATATATTTTTTTATTTCTGAGGGTACATAAGCTATTAATAAGTCTGGGTACAATATAAGCGGTAGTTAAGTTTACCTGCCTTACAAATACATTTGTTTGTCTATTGTTGCATAAATAATGAGGTATGCTGACTGTAAAAAAATGCAGGTAGCCACTCAATTTCATAAGGGTTCTAATATACCTATACATATTTCGATTAAGGAATAAATTATCTACAAACCGAATATTGTTAACCTGCTACTTACAACACACTATAAGAATGTCCTTCTTAAAATTTTAATATTTGTTGTAATTAACATCTAAAAACACAACGTTACCAACAAGTAACTTATGGTATTTACTCAATGTACTTTTAAATTACGTCATTAAAATAATACAAAAAACTGTCTTACCAAGGCGTCAGATCCGTGTGAACCTAAGGAAGTAGGAAACCTAACATCCTTGACGTCAATGTTGATAATCTCCAAGCCTCTTCGGTCGGGAACCGGCATTTTGTACAAGTTCTACTGGCGACAACAGTCAACTGAACGGATAACCCCGGCACAGAGTCACAACTTGCTATTTAGTTATCACTTGAATAGTATTCATGTTGTTTTCTTTGAGATAAATAACGGGATATGTTTATTTAGATTTGCTTCTCGATTTCAAACTTTAACTGCTTGCTAGAAGGTTGAAATTCACACGCCATCGTAGATGATAACCAATAGTTTTAATGTTGTGTTACATAATGTAATTATCTTCGAACTATGCATATTTGGTATTGTACTTAACCGAAAACATGATAAAAAACAAACAAGATAATTTAATGTTTACACCTTAACTGTGGAAGTACCTATTCCCATTTTGTGTGTTAATTAGGTGCTGACGGTGAATAAATACGTATTTATGTTGTTAAAGCTTTTGTCTCCGCCAGTTGGTGCCACAAGCGGCGATTTACTTATCATTATCAAATTAGGTACCTAAGAGATAAAAAATAAGACTAAAAATAACAAAACACTCCAAGAAACGTTTCATAAAATGTATTTCAATTTCTCTTATACAAATCTTTAGACAAAAATATGTTTTGAAACCGCAAGGTCTCTGTTTTTACAATAAACACTCTTTGTTTTTACAATTCTGTGACTAGATCAAAAGTAGTTTTAATTAAAATGTTTATTGGTATATTTTTTTTAGAATAATTTGGTCTTCCTTGTTACCTATTTAATAAATGCATCAGATGCATTATTGAGCTTCTTTACAATATTAATTATATTATTAAATCACGCTCGTTAATTATTACACTTTTTACTGTTTCCCGTAAACCTATTCTAATAAAAATTATTTAAAAATATATTATTTTTCATATACTTTTATATGGATCATATTTCGCTTGAATAGCGAATTGTATGATATCAAATGGAATGAGTTACAGAAGTTCTTCAGAATGATTTAAAAACTGTTTCTTGTCTTTTCTTTCTGAAAGGAAAGGCACAATAATCACTTAGGCCTCATTTGTGAAACCCCTACGCTACCATCTATCCCAGACGCATCGTCATTTTATAAAAACGGATAGTTTTTCAATTATTGCTCCCAAGACCGAATACAGGTAAGACCGCTGGACCACTAACAAGGATGGGCCATCAAGGTATTGTATATAAAAATATCGATATACATTTACCAAATAGTAAAGTGTTGCCAGTCGTTTTATAAATATTTTGAAAGCAGCCTCCGCTCACTGCCGAATTCGTAAATGAGTCCTTAAAACTAACCTAGTGCATTGCACAATGTGATGTATTTTTCTCTTACACATATGTCATCAGTTTACAGTCAAGTAGAAGGAGTTTACTTATGTATAACTTATAACAAACTTGCGAAGTAAAATCTCAAGTTTTAATAGGTAATATCTTAATTTTATAAATAAAATCAAGCACCTATCATTTCAATACAACATACGTGTGTGGCACACATTTATAAAAGAGATAAGAGTAAAGGATTAACGGTACGCTCCTGAAACGCTGACAAAAATAAATTGTTTTAAGAATTTTAATCGGTTTTGAGTTTAGAGTCGAGGTGGCCTAGAGGAAGACGCCGCTTCTCATGCAGGAGGGTTCGAAACCTATCAACAGCAAGTACCAATGTAACATTTTCCGAGTTATGTGTACATACTTTCTAAGATTATTTAGACACCACTGACAAATAGTGAAAGAAAACATCGTGAGGAAACCTAAGCTGTTGCGTTGAGCTAGCGTGGCTATTAATGCTCAAAATGATTAATGTTTTCCGTGTGAGAAGAGGCCTTTGGTTTTGGTCAACAGTGGCCACTTATAGGCTGTTGATGTTGAATCGTTTGTTTTCGTATTATTCATGCAATATCAGCCTTGAGCAGTTGATTACAACTGTAGATAAAAGAAACATTTAATTCCTTACCTTTATGAAAATAAAACTTGTCTTTTACCACCTGTCAGTGTTTTTCAGAAGCGTTTCGTTTACACCGTGTATTTTAAAGTTTACAATTAGCACCTTACTCTATACATAAGCCTTTTTATGGAAGTTATTTAAGTAGCAATTCTATTGAGCCTGTCAGTTTCATTTTGTTAGAGACATGTTAGAGAAATCAAGTAGGTAATTAAATCTATAGTGCAATAAGAAATAAAATGAATATCATTACAAATGTTGCATATTGAATGAATACGATGGCTTCTAAACAGGTTTATGATTGCATACAGATAGTAACAAGTATAAAACTAACAAATCTATGATTCCAGATCTTTCTTGATTTCAATTCTAACATATCTGTGGATTTTTATTAAACCTCATTTCTTTTTACTCTTCTTGTATATGTTGGAGAGGTCTTTGACAATGCTTCGCTCTCCTTCTCGCCACAGTAATGTAGCTAGTTGTCCCAGTGTTGCATCGTCGTCGTTGTTCACCCACTCCAATAGTAGCTTGTAACGAGCCTGTAACAAGTTAAATGCTATGATTCAGGTCAATTTTTTACAACCGCAAGTCTGATATAACTTTAAGATATAATTAACATGTATCGTATATATAGTAGAAAAGTATGACCAATTTCAATATAAATAAGTATGTTTATAATACAATTATCAGGTTTATTTGTAAAATAAAATACATATATATTTTATAATTATATCTCCCAGTATTACATAAATTGAAATATGATATCTACACTACATCTCACCAGGCAGACATCTTGACACAGATACCATTTAGAATATTCCAAGATATCATAAAATAACAGCATATCTACATAAAATCGCAAGTCATGTCACGTCTGCTAGAATCTACCCAGAAAGTAAAGATAAGGTGAAATTAATATTGATAAATTTCATCACAAATAACTTGATTATCAGCACTTAGTTTATCTACTAAAGTCACTATACATTTAAGATATTTATGATAGGTATATTGTTTATATGCAATACATCTATTAAATATTATAATTACGTCCAATAGCAATTGGGTACTTTCCTTAATCAGAAATAATTTAATTCGACGGTTCAATAAATGTTAAAAAATAATCACACATTAAAAAATTATCACTCTTTCATTAAATTATGTCCAACTTAATTTTAGTATTTTTTCAGCAAAATTTTAAGTAATAAGTATGCTGTTTGACGCTAAAAAAACGTGACGTCACACACAATCTCGTACAAAATTCATAGAAAACGTTAGAAATCGTTTTTGACAGTTCGAAAAAAGTATTGAATTTAATTTCTAAGGACTAATCCTTAGTCCAGTAGTCTTGTCTCTCAAGGATACTTTTAACATTCACTATTTACTACCTACCTCACTTATACTGTAACCACGGTTTACTGCATCTAGCTCGGCAGTATCAATTCTTCCCTCAGTGTAACCAAGTGTCCTGAAGAAACTCTTCCATGTTTTGCCAAGATTTTTTGATATGTAATCCACATAGTCATGGTTAGGCTGTTAAAATAAAATGTACAATGTTAATTTAAAAGACATACAAATTCTATTATTTATCTTTTATCGTCAAGAGACAGGGGCTCTACTCAACTACTTTTGGCCTCCGTTTAATAAGCCATAATTTTTATGCTTTGTAAGTAGATTAGAGTTTCAGTTTAAAAAGTTTAAGTTTAGAAGAAAGTGCTACTGCAGGGTTTTTGTTAAGTATAGTTCCTAATAAATTAGTCTTTCAATGGAATGTGAGAAATGTATCTCTAATGTCACAATGCGGCATATACATATTAATTTTGCCATCACCAATCTCAACTCAGATCTAGGATGGGAATCTCCATATTATTATCATGGGATTTGCAAGTATTACTACAGTAAGTTTTTATCATAGATATTGAGACATGGTATTATGAATGTAAGTAATCTTATCTCCTTAAAAAAGTGAAAATAGTCACTATTACTTGGGAGTTAAAGGCTAGATCGCTAGCTATCATAACTATCAAATACATATCAGCATTTCACCAAAACCGCTTTAAACCAGATAGGTAAACTGTATATAACTAGTTTCCTAGATAAAATATTTAGTGCAACATATTTGTTTCATTAAGCTTTTTACTTGAGTGGTTCACAGTTATTTCGGTCACTGCAAAAGTGCTTTAGAGACAGGAACCACATTATTGAATAAACTGCAATCACAATTTCGCGCAAATGCAGTTATTTAAATTCGTTTTCTTGTTTCATAAGTGAATCACTCAGGATATTAGCAGATTATGTTAATAAACATAAAAAATAATAAGTAATCTAATTGAGTCAATGAGGCATAATATTATTGCGCTCAACAGATGGCGCTAATGTTGTATGAGGTCCTATTAGTTCAATCCGTGTAGCTATCTGAATATTACCGAAGTCTAGTTTGACACTAGGAAATTATCTATTGGACAAACAGGACAGCTTGCTATATTAGTGTTAAAAAGTGCAAAATGCACTCATTAACCTGTTGAATACCAGAATGTGGACACACATTGTATTTCCTATTATGTCTTATATACCAGCTATCAAGTGGTTAAGTCTTTCTTTTAGTATGGTGAACTGAGACACTTAATTAAATTTTATAAAACACTCACCCGTATTGTAGCTTCCATAAGCATGCGAATATAATTATCTTTCTTAATAGGTTCCTCTTCATATTCTTTTCCTTTATCAGTCTTGGTGCCCATTGTGGTAACTGGACCAAAATAGTAATCATTTCCCAATCTAACTCCACGAGAATTGACTATGTTGTAACAAACAGTTCCACTAGCTAAAATAAAAAATAACAAATAGAAATAAAAATCTTGTATGGAGCATCAGTATGGTATCTACATGAGGTTGTATCATTTAAAGAAAATAAAATTCTTAATGTCCGATTATGAAAAATCCACAACATTTGTTCATACCAAAGTAGTCTCTAAACATCGGAAATAAGGTCTACAATGGTGTAACTGGAGAGCAGTCACCAGTGACCGCTTGGATCTTGACCAGTATGTGTAATGAAAACTAAAAAGACTAATAACTCATAACTGCCAGTTTACTTGAAGCACACAGTATAAAACTGTTGCTAAAACTACAAAAAATAATTTGTCTTTAGGTAGCTATGGCTATGGCACTCATGTTTAATTCTTAAGATACAAATGACTCATGTAAGTAATAAGTGTCGCATTTTATTTCATGCAAATTATTAATTTTATTTTATTTTATTTTTAATTTTATTTTATATTATTAATTTTATTTTATGCAATTAAAATGGCCACTTATCATGAGTAGTTGAATATGTGACTGGACATAGCATGCATCGGACACTTACTTTGAACATTTACTGAACTAGCGCTGCCGCGTTTTTCTTCATATGACTTTGAATACTCTTCCTCATCGTCTGTGAGTGGTTTCTTCGATTTGCTTGTCTTTTTTTTCTTATTAGACTTCTTTTCTTTTTTTATTTCATTATCGTCGTCAGATATTGACTCTATAATGATTTCTTCCTCCTGTTCTTCCTCATGGTCCCCATTCAAATTGTTTTCATCAGGTTGAGACGGTGGTGGTACCGTCTCTGCTGATGGCCTTGGGGCCCTCGGAACTGCATCCGATTTCAACCCCTTAAACATCTCCAGAAGCTTCGATACTTTTAGGTTTATTGGAGACATATTTGCAATAAAATTAATTTTAAATTATTTATAATAACACAAAGACCTTTCCTTTTTCCTTATCATCAAACATGGATGTTCATGTCCTCAATTAAAGTTAACTTTTATTTACTTGAAACTTCACACCAATAAATAAGTTTTCAACGAATATTACACTTTATAGCGTTACCTAAATAAATTATTAACAATAAACTAACCTTTTTAATACCAAATAAATATTTGCAAACTTGCGAAAACTATGCACTTCGTCTTTCACAAACAAATTTGAAGTTTAGAAGTATTCAGTGTTGCTATTGCAAGGATGCTGCATTCATATAATTTTCGTTTTGGCTATTGAAATATTATCATATATTTTTCATTTACCATAATAGACAAGAACTAACTCAGTACTCATGTTAATAAAATTATTTGTTGTAGTAATTTGATTACTTTATCAGAATTTTGCATTTACGTCCTAAACAAAATAAACACGGTCGCTTACTTTGGTCACACCGTTAATTACTCATCATTCATGATTCATGTCATCAAAACTGTTATCTCGCTCGCACTCGCTCGGTTGCTTTGCGTAGCTGTAATATTTTTTTTTGTTTGAGATGTGAAAAGGACATCATCATCATCATGTTTCAAATGAATAACATGTTTTTCCCCGATTTTAATACACATTATTATTGTCAGGTTTATGTGTATGTACACCACACTATCACAGTCTGTGATAGTGTGGTGTACATACACATAAACCTGACAATAATAATGTGTATTAAAATCGGGGAAAAACATATCACAGAATGGGGTTTCCCTTTTCTATCATTTTTTTAAATATTTTCGTGATCTGAGTAAATCAATTACGGAAATAAAAAAAATGTAAAGATGGGTACCTAAAGCTAGGTCTTCATAAAGCAGAAAACTTACAAGATTTTGCATTACACAGATACAATAGATACGTAGGTAGGTCGATCGACAGATATCAAAATAATTAACGTTAGGTACTGATAAGAAAGCTTTCTTTGACCCCAGAAGGAGAAGCGTAGCACATATGCGTGAAGGCCAAGGTAGCGCGCATGCTAACCTTGATGTAGCACAACTAACACCCATTTTTCATCAATTTGTATGTATTTTATTAGTAAGTAGGTATGAATCTCATCAGGGTTAGCCTACCTTAGCATTGCCTAATACAATTTAGGAATAAGAACCTCCTGTACGGCCATAGGTTCGCTCTACCGGCACTGTTACCGGGCAAAAAAGGTGATGTTAGGTTTAGGTAGATAACTACCTACTTTTTTCAAAAATTTGAGTCCTGTTTGTTGTCACGTTTGTATTGCATCAGCTATTGTTGAGCTATTGGTACATGACGACACGGCAAATAAAGAGATCGTATTACGGACCAGATTCCATTTTTAAAACAAAGTCTAATTTGACATTTGAGCTCAATGTCAGCGCTACCTCAAAATTTTACCTTTGCTTACTTTACTTTTTTATAAAAATGGATAAAAAGGACTGTGACTCAAAGTTTTCCTTGTTATCGTTGTTTAATTTATTTAAATTAGGTCTTTTTGATACTATTTACGCTAAAGGTCCAGCTAGTGAAATCCACTCCCCTCGAAAAGAACATTGGCAACATTGTGGATCGCCACGAAAATCTTCCTCAAAGGATTCTTCTGCATGTTCCACGGTTGGAGTCCAAAAAGATCCTTGTGCCGATAAATCTGCCGGTGGTGATGCACCGTTCAACAAAGTATGCAAATGTAAGGGACCTGATGGCAAGAATACAGCTGGTGACCGAGGTAAAACTGGAGCAGGCGTAACGGGTTCCAGGGCGGGACGGACTTGTGAGAAGGAATCTGACAATCTACCGGCGGGTGCAATCAATCCAGGGCTTCTGCGGCATATTCATAATGCAGCTCGATATAGATTACCGCAATGTTTCGAAGGAGGCTGTGTATCTTTAAAACATAGTTCAAAATCCAACTGGGTGTTTGGTCATTCTCTTTCATTCAGTTCTGTGTCGCCAGGAGGTTATAAGGTGCTGTTGTCATACGTAGATAAGGAAAAACCGACTTCGTTGCCTTATTTTGTAATGGAAGCAGCGCCCGGTGGCCAAATGAGCTGTGAGATGCGGGTAGGCCCCACTCTAGGCACGAGGGCAACAGTGGTTGCGCAGATAGCTGAAGGAGAATTCTATAGTTTCGAGAGCATCATGGATGCCTACTGTAACAGGTTTACTGCATCTATAATCGCTGTGAACAGAGAGTTTATTGCACTCCATTATCTTCAGGTAAACTTTATTTCATTATTTCTTAACCTACGTACCTTGGTACTACTTCCAAAAGAAAAATCTTAACCATGCATTATACACAATAGCATCAAATATCGGCCAGTGGCTTTGTCCACGTTCCTGGGACAAAACGTACCCCATGTGCTATTCACCTATTCCTTACCATAAATAATCTATCTTCATTTGGTAATTTTAAATAACTTACACAACACAATACCTTTCGCGAAAAATAGGTTTACAAATAGCACTTCGCCTTCGTAAGGCTATCCTGTAACTGTCAATTTGAACTTTCGAAGTGCGCTCGATTGTATTTTCGCTCGTTATTATTCGAGATTATTTTCACAACCTATGTTATAGCGGCCCGCTATCGTGTTCGTTTCGATCTTTCGAATTGAAACTTATAGAATAGCCCAGCTGATTTGATTTAAATAATGACTTTTATTTTTGCAGGCTGTGACTGATCAGTTGTCGCTGGGTGCGGAGGTCGTGGCTCGCGGACAGTCCGCGGAGCTGAGCTCGGCGTCGGGCGCCGGCCGCTGGGTCACCGAGAATCACTCCATCAGTGCAACACTCGGAAACAGAGGCTTAGATCTTTGTTACGCAAGAGATATCAAACCCTTCCTCACAGTTGCTGCAATGCTTGAGGTGAAAATTTTTAACCTGATATTGCTTTAATTCATGAAAATCCCTATACGTATTCTATAAAGGTAGTTACATTTTCTAAACAGGCCCCGTGACATTATTCGCATCGATTTATACATGGGTACCTATGCAAAGTTACGGGATAAGATTAAGACGACCTAAATAATCTAGTACATAATATAAAGATGTAGTTTGTTCTCTACTGCCAGTGTGCCAGTACAATAAAAATTAAGCTACGGCGTAGCTATAAGTGCGTTGCTGTTACGCAATATTTGTGTTAAAATAGCTGTGTCACACAAAACATTTAGATCTGTGTTATAAAATATGGTATTGTGTTTTCAGGGTTTAATTTACTGGGTTTATAAAAATTTGATTACTGGGTTTTTTAAAAATTTTCAAAAAGTTTATTACTGGATTTTTAAAAAATTCTCAGTAGTAGCACGTTGTCTGGAATTGTGCCCGGTATATGGCAATAAGCTCACCCCCTATTACATGGGACTCATAACATAAATAGTGAAAAGTGGGTGTTACATTGTACAGTGGTATAATGTGCACCTCTGCCTACCTCTCCGGGGATAAAAGGCGTGATGTTATGTTATGTTATGTTTTCAGGTGGGATTCGCAATCCGACGTGCGGTAGCAACACTGGCATATGAGTGGCATACAGAAGAGTGGACGGTGCGAGGATCGGCAGACTCCGACGGACTAGTGGGAGCCACACTGCAGAGGTCACTCGGAGGGAAGAGGGCAAAACTTGCTTGCGCCATATCAGCACTCCTCAACCATCCTAACGATAAGTTCAGGCTCGGGTTCGGAATCACTGCCGCGATTATTTAGATCTTAGCAACCATTGCATCTAAATACTGCGCTACGTAGACTGCCTTTTTCAAAGGAGATAATCATCAAATGACTCCTCCCGCCTGGGTGAGGCGAAAGGCAGTGTCGGACTCTAAAAACTACCCTGTTCCTACTCCCGCTCTCCGAGCCGGAGGCCCGGTAACCCATTTTGTCTTCCGCGGCTCCTGCTCTCTAGGCTGCTTACCAAATAAGTATATTTGTAAATGTAACTCACCCTATTTTTATCGTTTTCCCGTCTAAAACAGATGGACGGAAATACATGATAATTTAGTGAGATTCATTTATTTTGTGCATATTTAGTGGATAGTCCATTGTAGTAGTCTCGCGACATTATTGGGTTCATTTACTTTTTCGAGTATTGAGAAATCTGATTAAGTTTGTAAATGTTTCATATTGTGATGTATTGTAGCCATGTAGGTCCCAGTAACGTTATGGTGTGTAAGACTGTATGTTGTACTGTTTTAGCGTCTTTTATTGTCATCATGTTGGTTCTCGGTAAAAATACATGCCTTGTATTTTTATTTGGGTCTTACAATCTTGTTTTTAAAGTATTTCTGAGCCGATTTTTCAATCAACAGATAATTCTTATCTGTAGAATAAAATTAACATTTGACAGTTTTAATATGGGAGAATTGTCAAATAAATATCCAAAAATTAGTCCTCCGATAAAATTTATCTGGTGTTGGAAAAATCAGCCATCATTGTTTTGATTTGTTTTAGCAATTTAATCGAGACAGAATATATGAAATACTTATAGATATTTACTTAATATTGGTATTATAATATTTATATTGTTTGTAGTAAATAGGTTTTATTTCCAAATGACGTGTTTTTATTTGGCTCATCAATGTTTCAGCGACCTTTAAATATCATAAGTACCTACTTATAGATTCTACACACGTTTTTGTAAATATCTTTTTGAATATCCTTTTTTAAGGTGTTTGATGTACTTATTTACCAATATACACTTTCATGATGAATACAACTATTATTTTAATTTTTGTTCGATACCGGTTTAAAACTCACCCCTTGTTTAACTGCAGATTATCCAGATGACTCGCATTTATTACTTTGAAGTCACGAAACATTCACAGGTTGTCCTCACAATTTAATAATGCACACAAACACTAGAAAACACTATTAAAAATTCATTTTCAATGTAACGATAATGTAGGCGTGTATTATCCGCCGTCGGGTGCGTCAGTGCATCGCGGCGGCGACGCGTTGGGCGGGCGCCTGCGCGACTTCTGGGCGGAGTTTCAATCGCCGCCCTAACTCTGCACGCATAGAATATTGGACTTTACATCGTAAAAATAAAGTGTTATTTGATGTAAATAGGTGTTAAGTTTGGAAGTGTGGGCGTAGGGTGCTCCACTGCTGCAGTGTGTATTCCGTAGAGCGTGTCACGCGAGGCGAGCGCGCGGCGCCGCGTGTCGGCGGCAGTAATTTGGTGATGGAGCGGCTGGCGGACTTCGTGAGCAAGTCGCTGGAGGGTGGCGAGGCGCCGGCGCCGCCGCCCGAGCCCGGCGACGCGGACGATGCCGACGACGTGGAAGTGGACATCACGGAGCTGGAGGACAAGGCGCCGCCGCCCAAGCGCCCGCGGAACTGGCTGCTGTCGCCCGTGCCCGCGCACCACTGCAAGCGGGAGCAACCGCCCGACGATGATGATGACCACAGGCATGGTGAGTTACCAGCTTATTCGGTATCGAGAAGACAGTGCTTTTACACCACTACCTCATCCACATTTCAAATTGTGTCGGGTCTGTCTGTCGTATTCTTAAGTAATGACAGTTTGCAGTATGCTTTTAAGAAGAAAATTAAATCAGATTAATGAAGAATACATTTATGTCAGCTTGGAGTTGTCATGATCACTCAAAGGTCTCATTGGCTACAATATGGTTTGAGTTGGGCGGTACTAATGGTGCATATTCATGAACGGGCACTCTCAACTGGGACTAGTCAACTCCAAACTGTATTATTTTATTGTTCTTAAGGTTATTTTCTTTTTCTATATCTTTGACTGGACATTGACGTTACATTATTCTCACATAATTGAACTAACTAAACAATGTAAATGATTAATAATTGTATTATGAATCTGATTGAAACAAGAGTAACCAATAGAGTCTTTTGCTTGTTCTTCTCCATAGGAATCTATACGTTGGAAGTAAATAGCTTCATTAGAGTACAGACAAATACCTTTAAAATTTTGGATTGACATCCAAAACCTTCCTGGTCTAATAAATATTTTGATGTTTTTAACTTTTTTTACATAAAATATACCTTTACTCCTTCGTAGATTACCTTGAAACTATCTGGGTAGTTAACGACACTGTTTCATTATTGTTGTTGTGGGTACATATCCTCAACATTCAACAATACCTATATACCTCTAATGTGTCTACCTGATAGACAGGCAATTATAAAACTTGTTTAAATACTTTTTTTTTTATTTCAAAAATAATTTACATTGTGTGTGAATTAAAGCTTAAAACTAATAACATAAGTAGTACAAAAAATTTAAAATAAGATTCCTGTAATCGAATTACATTTATAATAAAAATAATTGCTAAATAGGTACTTTTTTTTTTTTTTTATGGCATAAGCCGGTAAACGAGCAGACGGATCACCTGATGGAAAGCAATCGGCGTCGCCCATGGACACCTGGAACACCAGAGGCGTTACAAGTGCGTTACCGGCTATTTGTGGATTAGGAGTTTGAGGATTGTTGGGGATTCAGGGATTGGGAGATTGGGGAAGGGGAGGGAAATTGGGCCTCCGGTAACCTCACTCACGCGACGAAACACAATGCAAGCGTTGCTTCACGTCGGTTTTCTGTGAGGCCGTGGTATCACTCCGGTCGAGCCGGCCCATTCGTGCCGAAGCATGGCTCTCCCACACTTAAAACTGTACTGGTCTCATAACGACAAAATTACATTAATACATTGATAGACTGTTCAATAAGTAATGACACAAGAGACTGTGTACTCGTTGAGTACCGTCATTACAGACACGACTAAGACTATGACTGCCATGCCAAAAACTGTTGAAGGTAAATCCTCCGCTAACGCCGGTCACCGGTGACCCCCATGGCGTTAAACGTGTTAAAGAACAGGTCCAAAAGATTGTGGTCACCGATGTCCTCGCGGTGTTTGATTGTTTAAATCTGTTTATTTCACTAATCTGCTTAATAATCTTTCTCGTTGATTACTTAATCATAGACCATCTGAACTTATCATGCCAGTGAAAGCCGATTGTATGTATAACTTCCCACACCATGACGCCACTAACAAATCAATGAATTGTGAACTTCCAATTTTGAAATCGGTCTGTTCTGAATTGTACAATAGTATTTAACTAGGTATAAGCACGTATGTCTTCATCAGTAATAATTATATTCTAGGTATATTCTAGGCTACCTCGTTGGCCAAGTGGTCGCAAGTGCGACTGCCGGGCAAGGGGTCTCGGGCTTGATTCCCGGGTCGGGCAGATACGCGAGACACAATATGTTTTCTATTGTGTCTCATATATCGCAGATAAGAAGTTAAACCACAATGGTTTGTCATAATCCCACCGTTTGACAGGTCACCGAATATTAATTTAGAGGTAGGCAACTATATAGTGGCCTGACTTTGATATATGTACTTGAGTATTAGACGTTGTAGTTTATTTTCTTTGAGGGGGATAATCATCCATTGACTTCTTCCCGCCTTGGGTGAGGCGAGAGGGAGTGTCAGACTCTCACTGACTAAAACTCAGGCCATTCCTACTCCTGCTCTTCGAGCCGGAGCCCCGACAACCCATTAAGTCCTCCGCGGCTCTGTATCCGCATCAGCCCTACTGGGCCCTATCTGTAGGTGGACTTAGTACAAGTTTGTTTCACGATTAAAGTAATCGAAACGAGTACGTGTTCGGCGCTCTGATTGGTTGCTTCATTGGCGCCGGCCAATAAAAGTGCCGAACGCGTACTCGTTTCGAGTACTTTAAACGTTAGACAAACTCGTACTAAGGCCTCTGATAGCTCTTTGAGGCGAGTGCAGAACGCGACGCGCGGTACGTTTTGAGTCTGGTGCACATGACATATGATACAATCCTTTAAAGTTACCGTTTCGACGCGTGATTCGGTAATATCAAACAATAAATATTTAACTATATACTTAAATTTAGTACCTATGCTGCTTATCCATGCTGAAGGGTAGTCGGGCTAATAGAATTTATTTTGAAATAAGTACGACTAACAGACAAGAAGTGAGTATTACGGTTCAAAAGCTCTCGGTTCAAATATCTCCTGCTCTCTGCTTGCTTGACTTATATCTACATACATCTTTGACGAATAATTAATTAGGAAATATAATGTTAATTTAACATCACACCTCGTTATTTTCCGAAGTCCAACCTTTAAGTGAAAGAGGGTGGTGTTACTTTTAAATTACTTCTTAGATAGTCTCCATTGGATCTTCTAGATAAGATATAAGTATATATATACCTATAGGTATCGTCCTCTAATTTGCATATATAAATATAAATGTTATAATCACTTACTCTTTGTAAGTCCTTTGCCACTGTCTCTAGGCATCAAACATTATCCCACATATAATTTTCGTGCATGCATAATCCATATTTTTAATCAGAAGCTAAGCAGTTTGACAACCTTGTCGAACCTATGGGACTTGTAGAACCTAAGTACTTATTACCATTTATACGGGCTCGCTCCACCTGGAAAGTACTGCTCTAGAATACCAGCATCATATGTGACGTAATATTGCCGTATTTCATCTGGTAAGTGAGAGTTCTAAATATCCTGAACCTCTGTAGGTCTACTCTGATTCGACGAAAAACGAAGTTTCGGACGAAACTTCGAACATTACCTACCACAATGGCATTTATTACGAACGAAAAAGGAATGAAATGAGCCAGAAATTAGTATGAGATGTACTGTTTGACATCGATATTTTCGGAACCCTACTCTAATTGTACAATCCGCACGAACGAAAATTCGAGTTTGACAGATTATTCTTCGGACGTTTAATGTCATTTCAACGAAACCAAAATAGTTATCGTTTGATTTTCGTTTGGGTTAAATTTATTGAAAAATGAAGGAAAGTAATTATAAGTCTTCGTTTTGTCACGGTTTCTTTGTGTGGGCAACACGTAGGGCACCAAAAGAACTACTTAAATGACGATATAAAATCAATGTACAGTCAGCTCAAATAGTTCGTTAACACGAACCTATATATTTTATATGTCTATGAGAGTTAGTAACATTTGGGTTAATCAAATACTTATTTGAATAACTTATGTATTGAACATAAATGTTTAATGAGTAATGTTTTATTTTAAAACTAATAATACCGCTAGAAAAATTAACTTAAGTATTGCTAGTATATATTTTCGCTATTCTTTCACATCTATTACTATACCAACATTTATAGATAAGATAATTTTTTTCAAAAATATATTGTTAATCATCATAACACGAAATAATTTAGTCTCTTCAAATTCTCATGTAGTCATTTATAATTTTTAAACTGACTGTACTAATATAATACGAATAAATTTGGTTGTCATTATTTTATACATAAATGTCAATAAATGACAAAAAAAACATTCTAAAACTTTTTAACTTGGTCGTATAATAAATTTTTGAAAGGAGGTTCTTATCCTGCTTAAGATTTTCCATCTTAAACGTTAATATTAAAAGATTATTCATGATTTTCTTGATGATTATGTGTGCTAAGCCATGGCATTATTATTTTAGTAATATAATTACTTAAAATAAAATTTTATATTTAATTTCTAATCTAAACCTACTTATTGCCCATTTATTTATCTTCACTTCATTCGTTCACGAAAGTTGTCTATGGTTCCGAAAACGTTGTTTGCCGCCGCAAATCAAACGAAACTTCGCATTCGAGAACCGGAGTAGACCTCCTGATGTTTGATTGCATCATTACAACATGGACTTTGCAACGCTTTTGTATGGCTGGTGTACAATACGGACTTTGCCTACGGCGACATACCATTAGGAAGGTCATTATTATATAATAGTACCTATATTAGGTACCTACTTATCAATATAAAAAATAATTGAAAATGCCTGCTGTCTTTTAGCTCGAAAATCTATACCCGTCACTGTAAGTGTAAATTTGGACCTATTTTCTTATGATCAATGATTAAAAGAATAGTATGATGTATATAATAGGTCTAAAAGAGCCTTCCATATTTTATTAGTATTCCCTACATACTCAAATATTCAATATGACATCGTATCAACAAACTTTGATTTACGACCACCGTGGAGTGTTTAATCAAGTGATACACATTACAATAGTCCTTTGTTTGTTATGTTACACAGGTTGAGGAGCATAAAGTATATATTTTATCGTACCCTTGTTCACTAACGTTAAAAGTTTTCATATTGTAGACTAGCTGTTGCCCGCGCCTTTGTCCGCGTAGAATATGAATTATAGAACACAACTGTTTTGTAATTGTAATGTTATATTTTCCAATGTTACTCCTTAGTAAGTACATCAGCTACCTGCCAATAAATGTCTTACAAAATCGGTCCAGCCATTCCAGAGATTAGTCAGTACAAACAGACAGACAGACAGACAAAAATTTAAAAAAATGTTATTTTGGTGTATGTATCGTATGTATATTGATATAGGTACATGTTTGCTACATGTATATGAAAGTGGTTATTTTAATATTACAAACTGACCGTCTAATTTTATTTATCTGTATAGATTTTTTAAACACCTAATACTGTCTAATCTCTGTTACACGAACATGTAAAAACGGGCAATTATAGTAATCTAATCCTAAAGATATAAACGTACAGCTTTCAGTAAAATTAAGTTCGCCTATCTGTAATTGATTACACCTAAAAGCGTAATTTTTAAACGATCATTAATTATATTAAAGCGCGGATTAACGCCGAACAGAGTGAGAGAAGAAAGCTCGGAATGGATATCCGTGAAAGAGTTCTCAATCAAATAAATCAGACCCTCGACGACTGTAACGGGGGTTATAGTTAGGTAGCGCTGTACAATTAATCACTGTTCGCTGGTCGTTAGATGTCTGAGGAGTTCGGATGCCCCGGAGACGAAAGGGGAGAGCGGGTGTGGCTCACAGCGCCGCCCACAGCCGGATAATCCCTCCATTTACATAATTGCCGTATAAAAAGGAGAGCTTCCCAATTTGCTAAATTGCTTCAAACGACAATCTTAAACGTACAGCTGGTTTGTTCCCGAGAGGCGAGTGCCGAGCTGCTCGCGCCGGAGACGGTGCCGATTAACGATGTATTAGCACTTCCCTGATTTATTTCGCGATTAATTTAACTGGTTCACACTCTACAGTAAGAAATAAAGGCTATGATTATTTAAATTCTTTATGCTAATTTAACTCAACCTTTATCCTAGCTACCTATCTACTATTAAAATGTAATTTATATTAACCCTCTGCAACTGACGTGGTTAAATTGTTACAATTCAACTGAGGTGTATATTATACCAGACACCATTTCAACAGCAAATATTTTTGTAGAATTAAAGTATAGCGAGCACTATACAGTAAGGTACTCGCAGCAGTGATGCTCGTATTTGAAAAATGACGGTATTACACGTGATTTTGTATTTCGCGGTGTCTGTGGGACTACACGTCAGCTGCAGACGGTTAAACTTGATTTTTATTAGTATTAATGATGTTGATGACATAACAATCAATTTTCTGTATGATACCAGCTTTTGTTGACCATGCTCTGATTAATCATTAACCGAAATCTTGATATCTATTATAATTTTCCAACACAATTAAAGAAGTAAGTAGGTAAGTTAATACAGATTAATCAGAACGTAGAAATTCTCGGTAACAATGTTAATTCGGTTTATAAATTGAAACAAACAAGGCTAAACAAATATTAATAAAAGAAATTGGTATTACGGGACATTTCAAACAGCAGTAAAACTGAGTAGAGCTGTACTCGAAGCGGAACCGTTATTCTGTAACTCAATTACGAGCGGACTACGATGCTACGAGGCTACGACGCTACGAGAAATGCTACGACAACATCCCGTAGTCACATTTAAAGTTAGTATTACAGTTTAACATTTTCGTTTGAATAAAACATTGGAATTGCGTTTTCATCTGATTCAATTACGTAGTGTTACGAACTCCTCCGTCCACTAATCGTGAGTTGTGGCTGAATGTGTGACTTTTTCGAAGGTTGATAATGAATTTATCATATTTTCATTAATTCATTTCTAAAAAACGGTTAGGTTTGTTTTATCTTGTAATTAAGAGTTCAAATTAATTGTATACTTCCGTTGGTAAACTGGACTCCGGGCTTGATGTTTAATTGCAATTGGTGATATTTTTGTAAAGATTTATCTAAAATTTATAAAATTCTGTTTCCTGTTCCTCTCCCTTTATGCCTATTCTCTATATTTTGTATTTCTGAGGTACTGGGGTATCACCACGTCCCTGAGGGAGTCGACCCTCCTCTTTGTATGAAATGTTGATTTAAACGGCACTTGTCTTTTGATTTAATCTATTAATACTTATGATATGATTTAGATTGTTTCTTTCTAGGAAATCAATTAAAAGAATATTTTAAACTTTACTTATTGAAACTTAATGCGTTTTTGAAACTTAAACCTCAGTAAATAAACACACACGCAACAAATAAATACGACAATCGAATTACTATGTGAACGATTATCGACTATTTCTTAATTTCGAGTCGGAATATGAGACCAAAACAATGTATAGGTAAAAATTATTTTAATTGTTGGAAGTGTGAAGGAACACACTTACTTGATCTAGACTTGTATGGCAAATCTATAAAAGATCTGGAAGCTCTCATTCTGAACTCACAAAACCATTCCAAAATTCTTATATTTTTTTCTTTTCTTTTTTAACTCATTTATTTCTTTTCATAACAGATGCAACAGACAAATCTCCTAACGGTAGCAGCAACAATGGAGGGGGTAAACAGAGACGTTCTAGAACGAACTTCACATTGGAACAGCTTGGGGAATTGGAGCGACTGTTTGACGAGACCCACTACCCTGACGCCTTCATGAGGGAGGAACTCAGTCAGCGACTGGGACTCAGTGAAGCTAGAGTTCAGGTAATTAGAATATTTATTCGTTTATAAGTTAGCGTAAGAGGACTGTTTAGTGTCCTTGTTGAAGTAGGTAGGTAACTACTATAAGAATGGCACCACAAACATTATGCAAATACTCATTCTAAAGATGATTTTACTTTAAAATATTTAACAGCATACCCGCTGTATGTACTAGTGTGGCCTTATAGAAAATGTTACCGAGGACAAATACGGTTCAATTATCAATAATAACATAAATAACCTGAATTCCCTTGAATTAGTTTACACTGTATTACAAGAGGCATTTGAAAAAATTGCAACTCTCGCCTGGTTTCATCCGATCTGCTCGGTTGGTATTAATCGTAGCGTGATGTTTTATAGCCGATAGCCGTCCTCGATAAACGCACTACCTAACACAAAAAAAAATTATTCGAATCGTATCGAAGTTTGTTTTTTTTTTTTTTGTTTGAGCGCACTAATCTCCGGTACTACAGGTCCAATTTAATTAATTATTTTTGCGTTCAATAGTGCATTTATTGAGGAAGGCTATAGGCTGTAAAACATTATGCTACGATCAATAGGAGCCGAGCAGGGCGGGTGAAACCGCGCGGTAGTAGCTAGTATACAAATAAGATACATAACACTAATCTGATTCTCCCTACATTCTGCTTGTATAAGAATGAAGTCCAATTGAACTACATCAGTAGTTGGGTCCTGTTCTAATATTGCAATATCTTGTACGTAACTCCCAATTTATGACGCTGTTGCCATTGTTTATTATTTAGTAACATCGATATTGCGTGCAAACAATTCATAATGATTACCGTTTGCGATATTATGCAAATAACTATTACGCATAGAGATGTTTATGTTTAAAATGCTGTAGTTTTTTATCCTGATAATGTTTGTAATTGTAAGTGAGGTCTTTGGTGTATCTATCGATGACCGTTAAAATAAAATAAGTATGTGATAATATACGATAAGACCTCTCATTGTACTCAAATTACTATTACAATGTATAAAAATTTTCTGTGTGTGCGATAAAATATAAATAAATATAACCACAGTTTAGCATCATATAAAATTAAATTGCGCAACCTTCTCTTAAAATAATGTAACCTATGTTTGACTGCATGTGCTTGTGTATTCTGTTTAAAATAAATTGTGGGTAGGTTACTTTCATGTTACACTTAAAAATTGTATGGAACTCGAAGTCTTTTTGAACCTATTGTTTCCTTATATAAGTTTTGTTTTTTATGTGACTGTTTGTTTCCTAAATAAAATATAATAAAAATAAAAATAAATAAATAAATGTTGAAATAAAAGTCGAATCAAAATATTAAGGATATTTTACGTAAATCAGTTTATTAATTATTCATATAGACATTTATAGACATAATAACCTTATAAATAACCATGAACAAGACACGTTTCGAGATTAACTCTTATTCAGTAAATCATACTCCATTTCGTATAGTAGTGTTAACAGACCTGTATCCTCATACGTAAGATCCCAAAAGAAACCCATAACATACGCGTACGTAAAGTCAAAATACGTCATATTACTGTACGACTTGTCGAATTTTTCGTCACAAATATCAATTAATAGAATTAGCAGTTATTCTACACGCATCGAACATACTAAAATGCCGTATTTCTATATTATAACTTTCGTAAGACATACTAAATTAATGATTATGTTTTACACTTAGTCGTGATATCATCATGTACGATATTAATTAGGACGCGGCAATATCTCCTACCCCTGTTTGTTATGGCGTGGGGTAGTACATAAGCGATGCGGATAGCGGAGTGTTACGATCTTTTGAGATGTAAAAATATTCTGTCTAGTTCTAAAATAGTGAAGTTATTTGTGTTAATATATCCTACTAGCTTCTGCCCGCGACTTCGTACGCGCAATCCCGTTTACTCCCGTTTCCATAAGATTTTCAGTTTCGATTTATATCTACTTGAAAGCTGTAAGCCGTTCTCATGTTGATTAAAATCTAGCATACATACACATAACATCATAGGTAGGTAACATCATAGGTAGGTATACATCATAGGACTCCATGTTCGTAGTATTTAAAAACATAATAATATACACTCCATCACCTGTACTCTTGCTATATTCAAATTCCGCTGCAACGCATGTCGTATAAACATACCCTTAACAGTGTAACAGTGACGCGACCCCTCACTCATTACTAATGCACGTAATTAGCTGTGATCGCCCAACGAGCAACGCTTTATCGGCTATATATCGCGATTAACGTCCCATCGGCGTTAAGTACCGTAAGTGGCCGGTGGCCGATCTTAGGGACTCCCACAATAAATAGATAAAAGCCTTGACCCCGGACAACGTTGTGTGTCTTCACTAGTGTCAAACGACCTCTTTGGTGACCTTATTGATATTTATTTGCAGTGATTTCGTTTATTGTGTGCATTTGTGTAAGATTTGCTTGCTTCGTGTGTAATGGCCATGATTCACTTTTACGTTCTATTTTTTTCCTTACTCTTTTCAAGGAGTTCTTATGTTTAATATGTAGTTATAGACATTAAAGTAATTTAGTAAAGAGAATGCAATGATTCGTCTCAAGTTTCTCTAATAGTTAGTTGTGTATTTTTCACTTTTAGTTCGCTCTCAGTGAAAGTTTAATTAATATTAAATTAAATTTAGTTAGCTGAATACGATATACATATAGGTGAAGTGCAGCCAAACAAATGTAGAGTATGTTTACCTAAGAACGCCTGGTGTTTGTCTGTTATTCAGTCGTATTGTCTTATGTAATCAGAGCTAATGAATTCGCCCCTAGTTAGCGTATCGGTCGCCACTCGGTAACAATGTATGTACGCTCTCGGTACTGCAGTATGTATGTAGTTAATTTGCTTGTAATTAATTTGGTTTCTGTAAAACAAAATATTTTTTTAGTTTATGATCCACGAGTCGTGAAATTTTATTTTCTCTGTCGGATTCGTGTCTGTCCCGAATAGCAGAATACTTACTTAATTATTAAAATATAGCAAAACATTAAAAAAATTATTTTAATTTTCCCGTAGTAACGTAACATGACGTCTTTTTCGGCTCTCTTATTCCTCAGGCGTAGTTCCGACGTCCTGGAAGACAGCATTAGTCCACCCAATCCCTAAAAAAGGTGATCGATCTAACCCGTCTAACTACAGACCGATAGCCATAACTTCCCTCTTCTCGAAAATAATGGAGTCCATTATTAACTGCCAGCTCCTGCGTTACTTAGAGGATCATCAGCTGCTCAGTGACCAGCAATACGGTTTTCGTAAAGGTCGGTCTGCTGGTGATCTCCTTGTTTACCTAACGCATCGGTGGGCACAGGCGATCGAGTCTAAGGGGGAAGCGTTGGCAGTAAGTTTAGACGTGGCGAAGGCCTTCGATCGGGTTTGGCATAGAGCGCTTCTTTCGAAGCTTCCTTCCTACGGACTTCCCGAGAAATTATGCAAATGGGTCTCCTACTTCCTTGCAGACAGAAGCATTAAAGTCGTCGTCGACGGTGAATGCTCTGACTTGATGTCTGTAAATGCAGGCGTCCCTCAAGGCTGCGTGCTATCGCCTACATTGTTCCTCCTCCATATCAATGACATGCTGCAAATCAGCGGCATTCATTGTTATGCGGATGACAGCACAGGCGATGCCTACTACACCGGCCGCGCTAACATTTCTCGGGAAAACGTCATAGAGAGCCGAAACAGACTCGTGTCTGAAATCGAGACCTCTTTAGGGAGAATCTCTGATTGGGGTGGACTTAATTTGGTCCAATTTAACCCCACTAAGACACAAGTCTGCGTGTTTACCGCTAAGAAACTGCCGTTGGTCGTCTCTCCTCAGTTTCAAAGCACCCCCCTAACTGCCTCAGCCGGTATTGGAATACTTGGTGTCAATATTTCGAGCGACGTCCAGTTTTGCGGTCATTTAGAGGATAAGGCCAAATTAGCCTCGAGGAAGCTTGGTGTGCTCAATAGATCGAGGCAGTATTTCACCCCGACCCACCGCCTGCTTCTATATAAGGCACAGGTGCGGCCCCACATGGAATACTGTTCTCATCTTTGGGCGGGGGCACCCCAGTACCAGCTTCTTCCTCTGGACCGCATTCAGCGGCGTGCCGTTCGGATTGTTGGATGTCCGGATGTTTCAAACCGGCTCGACACTTTGGCAATGCGTAGAGATGTAGCTTCATTGTGCATTTTCTACCGCTTATACCACGGGGAGTGCTCTGAGGAATTGTTTGACCTGATACCTGCCGCATCTTTTCGCCATCGACCCTCACGACAGCATATGCATCCCCATCATATAGATGGTTGGCAGGCCACAACTGTGCGGTTCTCACGTAGCTTCCTGCCTCGCACAGCAAAACTGTGGAATGATCTGTCGTCGGCGGTATTTCCGAACCGATACGACCTTCAAACCTTCAAGAGAAGAGCGTACTCCTTTTTAAAGGGCCGGCAACGCACCTGTGACTCTTCTGGTGTTGCGGGTGTCCATGGGCGGCGCTGATCGCTTACCATCAGGTGATCCGTCTGCTCGTTTGCCTCCTATTCCATAAAAAAAAAAAAAAAAAAATGACGGGTCAAGAAACAAATATGTTCATGTAAAATGTTGCGTTGACCAGACAATACTCTCAAATAAATACAGGCTAAATACTACAGTTCGTAGGGCGTAGTTTGTAGCGCGCAGTTCGTAGCGGATAGACCGTAACGCGTAGCGCGTATACCGTAGCGCGTAGCGCGAAGTTCGGAGCCTGTACCCCGTAACAACGTTTTCTCACAATCAATCTAGTACACGTGCAAAATTTTTTTTGTGTTGTTGCTCTCTCACGCCTTATAACGCCTTTGCTTGGAACCAAACAATTAACATAAGGTAGTCCCAAGTCCTTATCAGTGTCGCGGAGAACCTAACGGGTAACCGGGGCTCCGGCTCGACGTGCAGGAGAAGGAACGGAGTGGTTTTTAGTCAGTAAGAGTCTGACACTCCCTCCCGCCTCATCCAGACGGGAGCAGTCATTCGATGATTTTCCCCCCTTAAAAAAAAAAGTCCTTATCAGTGAAAAAATGAAATAACGTACTGTAAATAAATTACGAGTAGTACAATAATTACACAGACACAAAACCAATCACAAACGATTAATTTGATTTAAATTAATTTAGATGTAACCATTACCAATTACGTGCTTTTGTTAATGTGAGTCACAATTGTGCGCCAACAGATTCAATGCAATCAGTTGAGTCCGTGCTGTCCCAACTAACGTGGTTACCGTGTTTGTTTGTATGCTGGTACGTTGGTACCTGGGGCTGTAACCAACACTAATGTGGTACCCACCGTCCCACGTACAGTCAGCCCGGTAATTTTGTATGCAGATACGAAAATAAAGATTGATTCAGTACATAGGCTACTGGACCGATCAAGAGTAACAAAACATATGGCTTCGTTTAAAATTTTGCATGACTACTGCCGGAATACTGAAACGTTACTCAATTTTAAGTCGTGCTTAAATATCGTGCGATCTCTGTCATTTTACAAAGAATTTGTAGAGACAGAACTATAGTTAAGCGCGACTTAAATTGAGTAGGGTTTGGGTATTCCGACATACATCGTTTTTCTTCATTCTTTAAAAAAAAAACGTTAGGTACCTTACATTAAGAATTTCGGTGTCCTAGGTGTGTTTACAAACATTAAATTTTATAAACACATAACACCGGCACCCGGAACAACAAATTGTGGACCACACAACGAGGTGTTCTGTGCGGGAATCGAACTCGTGACACGTTGCGCAAAGACCCAGCCATTGCATCAACAGTACTGGGTCAATCGTTATTTTCTTACATGCATACCAACTAACAGATCTGAGTGTACAATGCTCAACTACAGTCCTGTCTCGTGTGCCATGTATGTAATACGATTTGCCCAAACTCGCGACGAGATCCTCCCCTGTTTGTGTCGTCAGTTATTGCAATAGGATTAAATGCAAATGTTTCTGTTTGCTTGTTCTGTGTATGCTTAGTTACACTAATTTTGATTTTTTTATAAGATTAGTATTAGTAAAACTGTGAAAAAGATACGTTAAGCAGTGTCACTTCTAACTAGAGATAGTTTAAGAATGAAAAGCAGCTACATTTAGGCTGTAGACATTTTTTATAATGTATCTGAAAAAGAATTCTAGAAATAAGGCTATTAGAATAATTTCATTTTAATTG